TCATTAGTACCTCTCCAGGCAAGCGGATAGACATGTGCAGTTATTCATGGGGACATGCGCTGAATCTCAGCAGGGCCGGGATGATGCTCAGGTTCTGACAGATGCTGGAGGAGAAAGAAATTCACAGCTTTTTCACCCAGCAGTGCCTGGAGAGCTAGGAACTCAAAACCACAGAATTTCATTACCAGGGCCTCTCTCCACTGCTACTTAGAGCCCTTCTTGCAGCAACAAAATAAACACACAACTCGATACCTTTTGTTGGATGTGAGGTGGACTCAAATACTAAGATAGCCCCTGCTTCTGAGGCTAGTACAAGTAGCAAGGAAAGAGCTGTTACCAGTAAGGCCACAACTAAAAACTGTCTAAGCATTAGGCTCACTAGAGACATGGCAGGTGAATAGGGGAGAGGAAACAGCAGTTATTTGACACTGACGATCACTGTCCCAGGTACCAAACTTTAGTCCGGTTCCTTCAGTATCACTGAGAGGATGCACAATCTGCTATGGAAATAACGTCCCCCCACCATGCTTTACAGAAATCTCCTGTATGTTGGCAATGCAACATGGCGAGTGAAAGTGCTTCCCCATTCCTATGGAGAGAAGAGTTGTCAAACAGCCGCTGCGCTCTGATATGACAGACCAGCTGCCAACACGCCATAAATCTGTCCTAGAACAACCAGCTTCTGTACAGATCTGCCAGTCACACCTGAAAGCTGGCCTGTGGCATTCCCAGCTAAGCCAGCCTGAAGCCTTCCCAGCCTAAATGCAGCCCTCAACATTTTATTCACTATTACTCATATCCAACATATCTGCTCCACACACCTCAACTCCTTTGCCCCTACTTCTTCACACATACTCAGCTCCTAGCTTCTAAGAGAGTACATTATTTCAAATAATTTTCCTACAGAAAGAAGACAAAAAACTTTGAACAGGAAAAAAAACCTGAGTCAAGGAAAGCTTAAGTATCACCTCTGTGAAGATGCAGTGTCCTTTTTGTTTTCCTTTCAAAAAAGAGCAAATTTGCATTGAACATCCTTGGAAACATGTTCAAGTTTAGGAGTGCCCTCTTCTGACGTGCCCCCAAGCCCAGGCAGAGCCCTAGGTGGAGACGACCAGCTTAGACATATGCCTGCCTTTGGAGCACGTTGCAGCTGAACTCCAGGAACAGGCAGAAAAAGCAGGAGCATAACTGAAATGGACCTTAAATCCTGCTGCAGCAGACAAGCAGGAAAAAATAGTTCTGTGGAAATCGTGACTTCCCTCAGCCTATTTCTGAGAGTGTCAATCTGTCTCATTGCTGGCGCTTCCTCAGGGACTCTCCACCTCAGTGCTCCTTGTTGCCAAGACTGGATGAGCTCAGACAAAATGAAATTTACTGGGTCCCAGTATTTCACAGCAGCACTTGTCCAACCCGCAGTGCTCTCAGCCTCAGTTTAAAGGTGGAGAAATACTGCCAGCAAAGAGGAGGTTAGAATACTGTAACCCCTGTACATTCCCCGACCAACTGCGAGTGTCTTGTGCCATCTCTCAGCTTCATGCAAGACACCTCATCTAGCCACAGTCATGACCAAAAGGTTGTGTCCATCTACGATTCTGTCAAGAAACCAGCTTCTGTCAGTGTGTAAGGTCAGACACTAACTGCACTGTAGAAAGCCATCTAGATACCTTATTCTCCAGAACCAGCCGGCATAATATGAAGAGCCCTTTCTCCAGAGACAGAAAGGAGACAAAGGTGGATTGCCTACACAATCCTGATGTGCTACCCAACAGGTTTGGTCACAACACCCCGCTCTGCCCGAGGCAACTCTAGGCAGGGAATCCAGCTGAGGCAGATCAGCAGTTTGTGGTTTGACCCTTTACCCATGAGCTCTCAAGCCACAAAACTTTATTTATTTTTTAATAGAGATCATAAATTAGCTGTCCCAAACCTGCCTCCTCACAATGAGATCATACATTTGCTTTAATTAGGGTCAAAGCAAAGAGAAAAGAAAAAAAAAAATCAGAAGCCCCTCCCTCAAGCTTGCTAACAAAACCAGAAAAGCAAACTACAAAATGCTTTTAAAAATGTTTTGTTTCGGATGCAGCTCTACCTTTTGGTGCAAACCTCTTTGCATCCACATCTGCATTCAGAAAGCAAGATCCTTCATCCAGCTAAACCTGAGCCAGGTAGGCAATTCTTGCAGTCTCTTCCTCAGGCCCCGATTCACATACTCCTTGGACTTGTACGGCTCACTCCATCAAGTCTGTTTAATTACTAGTAATCTCGTTATTGATGGCTTTTTGCTTAATCTCAGCACTGCACAGAGTGCAACAGCCCTGACTTGTGATTTATGAAAAGATGAGGGGAGCCTTACCACTTCCTATCAGAAATCTCACCTATGCCTCAGTCTTTATGATAGAAACACCGTTAGTAACAACTTCACCTTCTCATTCCCAGTGGTCTCAGCTGGGATTGATAGATTGCCTCTATGCTACATTCTGGCTGCCCGGTAGCACTACCCATGACAACAATTATGCTTTAGCAGGGACTAAAGGAAAGGAGGCCCTGGCTCCTTTACCTGCTGGCAGGAAGGCTGGTTTTGTGCCAAAGACACTGTATGAGAAACAACTTGTAGGCAGATTCCATGTGTGACCTTAAATGAGTTGTTGGGTCAAGATCTTTGCAGCACTGAGACTCCCAACTTCCCCCTGAAATGAGCATTAAAATGTGATCTGCTCTTGTCATCAATGAGAGTAACAACCCTCCCTTCCTCTGCCTCATTTCTTTAGCCTGCAAATTCTCCAGGTGGCAGGACTGACTCCACCTGTTTGCACAGTAAGCAGCAAAATGGAGTCCCTGCCTTGATTTGAAACTCTCGAATGCAAAGCTATCCAGCTGTCCACTACCTGTAGCCACACCTGTGTTTACTACCAGGAACCAAACATTTGCCGCATTCCTCTGGAAAACATTGATAACTCCTAATTATTGTCAAGTTATCAGTCTCCCACCACCACCCCAAAACAGGAATCAAACTGGAGAGGAAGGTGGAGCAGCCACAGTCATTTAAAATGGATATTTACTGTACTGTCTTTTCACATTAAATATGAGGTTATGGGCTATGACAACATGGAACAGTCACACAAACAGCACCAGAGAGAGGTGCAATTGGTTCTTTAACTACATTTGTTTCTTTATTCGGTTTAAGGTCAGGGATTAGCAAGGGAAGAGGCAACAAGCAGGGCAAGAGTTTTGGTTTTGATTTACTGGCACTGTAGAGCCCTGTTCAACACACATAAAATTTTATGAGGGGTAGAGCTGGCTGGAGGGAGATGGGGGAATACTATGAACACAGACACTACAACGTTGATCTGCAGTGTGACTCTGACCTTTCAGACCAACTCACCCAAGACACCAGTTGCTTGGCTGAAAACCTTGAGGCTTCACATTTGACTCTTGTGAAAGGTGGTATTTGAACAGGGTGAAATCCATCTCTCTGAAGAGAGCCAAGACTTAGACACCACAGATGGTTCCCTAAGCCTTCAAAGTTTGAATTTAGAGTCTCAGCTTCAAACTGCTCCTCCATACAGTGGGGGTGCAATGGAAGAGAACTGCATTGTCCATGCTGTAATCATCCAGACAATGAAGAAGCGCACTGTTTGCTCTTACCATGTTTTGCACTTTATAAGCTATGTTTCCAATAGAGCACAATGCCATTAAAAAAACTCCTCCTTAATGAAATGCAGGGGATTCAGAACACCTCTCCCTATGTTTCTAAAGTTGCTCTTATGATTCAGCCCATGCCTTGCTCCTCATCCAGCTCCTCCTGCTTTGTCCCAGTGGTGTCATGTTAGATCACAGCCCCATTGGTACAGCCTGCCCTTCCCATCCTGCTCAGCTGTTAATCTGCAGACTAGCCAAGAGACCTGCCTAGCACTGCATTCTGCACGTGGACCAACACATGTATCCTCAGAGGCACGTACTTTTCTGTTTGGATCCCAACAGCTTCCAAACATACAAATCTGCTTCCTGATCCACCTGCTCTGGCATTCTGTCACTGCACACACAGACCAATCTAATCACAGTCACAGTGGGGCATGAAGCTTGTGCAGCCTTTTTGCAAAAAGAACCTACTCTCTGCTCCGTCTCATGCCATCCCATCCCCACAGAGTTCCAAGAATGTGAGTGAAAACAACTCCCTTCATCTAGCTTTTGATACTGCATGTTTTAAAAATGGAGATACAGTAAATAAATTGCTCTGAAGCATACTGGACCAATGTAACATATACTGTCTATTCTGAGAAAAAAAAAATTAATGCTTCTTATCCTCTCTGGATGTTTCCAGAAATTTTAAGATGCTGTAGTCTAGAATTCAAAGGATGTTATAGGTATCTTTAAAAAATTATTATAAATAGCAAACAAACCCTTGGTTTCACAGATAACAAAAACACTCTGATCCCATTAAAACAGATAATTGGCTCAACTCCTAAGTTTGGGTTTTTTCCTCCCAAAAGCGCAAGTTTATCCTTGAAAGTGTCTCCTGGACAGAGCAACTTTAGGCTGTTTCTCTGTGGTGCATGCTACTTCATTCCTTAAGATTCAGTGCATTTCAGTTAATTCTCTCAGGTGTTTTCCTTTTTCTTAAAAAAGAAACAATTCCTAAACATTGTTACCTGAAAAAATTCCCTAGAAGAAGGTGAGCACTACTTAAGCAGACAAGGACAGTGGAGGGGGGGCGGCAGGAGAGAGAAAGGGAGACTGAGCTGGATTTTCCCAGTGCCAGATCGCAACCTGGAGCAGAACCTCATACTGTCATTCCTTTTTATTTCCCGTTTTTCTCTTCTCTGGTGTAATAGATAATAACACAGGGAGCAGCAGGGATAATACATTCGTAGGTGGCTGCTGGATTTTCAAATGGTTTCTTACCAATATGTTCTGTGTAGGCAGAGCAGAGACCTGACACTGAGGAACTGAAAGCAGATGATGCACCCTTTTTACAGCTGGAAGCTTGCAGAGCAAAATTACTTCATGGGAAATCTTTATTAGTGAATCTTACAAGTGCAATCTTTCAAAAACGAACTGAAGATGGCTTAGGCAGCTGTCCAAGAGTGTCAGCAGATGCTTTTGGTTTTGTTGCCCAGGTGTGTTGCTAGCCTCCCATTTTTTTCCTGGTTTGCCTCGACCTCCGGGATTTCAGAATAGTGTAGTTTGCATACCATGTGTACTGTTCTGAGAGAAGAGGGACGTAGAATGCACGCAGCAGCTTTGAGGACCTGAAACCAGAAAGGAAAAACAAATCATCCTTAAAGCGCTCATTAGCCAGTATGTTCAAAACAATACAAATGAGGCTTTCCAAAAGATTTGGCCTGGTGAGTCAGTAACATGAGGAATGCTAATGGTTCAGGCATACGAAGCCCAGTCCCATTTTCTCCTTGTTGTTGGTGGGACCAAAGCTGGTTTGTGCCAGCATCACCAGTTTAAAAGCAGCAGCCTGCCCAGTTCTTCAGCATGCCTACTATCCATTCCAGTAGGATTAAGGGGGGGAGAGGGCAGGAAGGTGTTGTAATTATCAAAAGAAACTTAGATCCCGGATATCACTGTCCAAAAAGCAGACAGTACAGCCCTGTGAGCCTTTGGTATCATACAGACAGGCAGGCCTCCCATTCCTCAGGGCATGCTATGAAGGTGAAAGATAGCAAGGCTGCATTTAGCTCCTGGCATCTCCTCTTTTCTATCCAATCTTTCTGGCTGCCGATTCCTCCACGCATGTCTGAAGGGCAGACAGAAGCTTTGATGGGCACTGGCATTTTGAAGTTTTGCTCTTGTGCTGATCTTCTGTTGTGAGTATTGAATTAAAGAGGGATGGACCACTCTAAAGCCTACAAGCGGTTTGCTGCAGGCTGCCAGCATTCACTCCATGCCCTGCTAGTGCTGGGAGCTGGCATTTCACAGCACTTTGCAACAATTGGACCAATGGAGTACTCAAGCATGGAGGGTTTAATGGCTGCATCAAATTAGTACCTTTTCTTTGGCTGCTAATTGCTGGAGCTGTGCTAGCTGAGTACATTTTAAATGCATGTATTCTCTTACTGAGCAAACTAATAGTAAAATTCAAGTTTAAATGTGAAGCGGGCCAATATAATGTCCTTCAGCAGCAGCACTGAACCTTGCTAGAAGCTTCAAAAAATAGAGAAACTTCTTGAAATCAGGGCGGGGGCAGAGTCTTGCTTCCTTAGCATTTAAGCTTATCTCTATCTCTTTAAGATCAACTTGTTGGTAAACTATCAACCCTTGACAGACATAAGTCTAACTCCATTCACATAAAGCTTGGAAAAGCAACTGCAGCACTCAAATTTGATTTGTAGCCTGCTAAGTCAGGGATGGTACACAGATCCAGCATGTACTTGCTGGTCACTGCAATTCACACAGCTTTGCTGGTTACACAGCCAAGGTTCTGGACACCCAATTCAAGTCACTTTTTCAGAAGAAAGATGAATTGTGTTTTGTTTGCTTATTGTAAGGCAGCACTGGATATTTTTCAAAAATGCAGTCTAAAAAACAATGGCAGGAACTGCCACTGTGAACTACAACTCCCTGGAGGCTCCCAGGGTTCTTAGACAGCCTTACTGTAAACCATCTGAGAACAAGCAGCTCCTGATCTCCTGCAACCTGGAGCAAAAGACCATCCAGGAAAGACTGGTGATATCTACTTGCATTGGCATAGCACCACTCAGCAGCAGGGTCCTGTTACATAAGATGCCATACAAGCACAAAGCAAGGCATTTTTCAGTTGAAATATTCCCTTTTTAGACAGACAAAGTGACAGACAAAGCAGTATTCTTCCCACACTGGAGAGGGGAAACTGAGGCAGAAAGTATTGTCTACCCTGAGAGAGACTGAGCAAGTCTGAATTCCTAAAATTTACAAGTCCCACTTCTAACTGTGAGACTCTGCCTCCTTTCAACATCCAGCATCTTGTAAGCTCGCTTTTTTGCCAAGCACTCAGCTTGTGCTTTAGGATATAAAAATGCTGATTGCTTTATTTCAAAGAACAAAAAGCTCAGTGATAATACTTAAGCCTTTTACAAATTGTAAAGCACCCAGCAAAGTTCCTAAATAAAAGAATCACTGGAAATGGTTGCTCTTTGTGAATTCCTGAGGTGCTGGAATCGGGAACATGTTCAAAGCAGAATCTCTTAGTAGCAAATAACTAGGCAGAAGATGGTAATTTTGGTGTATTCTGAACAAGGAACATTTTTTGCAGCTGTCATTTCCTTGTGCCTGGAAATTGGAGGTCAGCCCTCCCTCCAGTCACTAGAAGCAAAAGCATCCCTTTGAAAACAAGTGCTTGATTTTCCTCCTCCATCTCTTGTGGCTAATGAACATCATGTCATTGCTGAACTTATTCTGGCATCTCCTCCTCTGAGCCTGACAACCCACCATTGCTACCATGGCTGCTCTCTGTGAATGGTGTGGTTTCACTTCAATTCCCTTTAGCAAAGAAAAAGAAAAGAAAGAAAAACAAGAAAAAGCAACTGTGTTCAAGCTGCTTGGGATGCTGTTTAAAACAAGGAAACTGAAAAGTAAGGTAGAGTACCAGCTTGCTGCTACATTGTAAGAAAGGGACAGAAACCAGCACAATTCCCCAGAGCTCAGGGTGTGTGCTTGGGTTAAGATGAAGTAATCTGTTGTATTAGCCTTGTGCGGTTTAGCTCAGGGACAGAGAGGAAGGCAGCACCTTCAGCTGATGGCTGAGGTCCCAAGTATACAGTCTGTAGCACTGAAAATGCTTTCCAGTCACTCAGTCCAAATGTAGAGCTGACAGCAGTCAGACAACAGCACCCAGTTCACATCCTCCCCTTGTCCTGGATGCATCTACATACTGACAGCCTGCCCAGGACAGCACTGTACAACGCAGTGGAAACCCAGTAATGGTGGGACTGATTGATTGCTGGAGCAACAGAACTAAACGCCTGTGTTTACCCTCAGTGCTGGTGCCTCTCACAGCTCTGCAGAAACACTACTATCTTGTCTGTACTTCTTCTTTATACCTTTTGTGAGAAACACTCCCTATATCTTTTACTTGTTGGTATTCTGAAATATAGGGCCAATGCAGCTCACATGGTTGTGCTCACATGGTCTTTGTGGCATATGTTCAGAATATGCAGGATTCAGCTTTGCTTTCTAGAACAAAAGGAAATTCCAGGAGCTGGTAGTAGCAAAAATCTCCTCCCAAATAAACCAGCTCAGTGTAACCATCCTGAGTTTGCAGACAGCCTGAAACAACTCTGAGCAACAAAAGCTCTCCACACGCTCTTAACTTTGCTAGCAACTCAGCCCTCATTAGCAGCAGTTTAAATGTCAATGATGTTCACTGTTTCACAGTTTATATCAGCAGTGAAACAGAGGAGAAATTACTGTTGGTAAAAAAGATCAAAAAAGGAGAGGCAGGAATGACTGATGGAAAAAAATACCAAGGGTGGAAAATGACAAGAAACACAGAGCAGAAAGATAGCTGCTCTTCCCACCAGTGGATGTGCTACATAATGCCAAGGCACTCATGACAAATAACAATACAGTGAATTGGTATATGAAGGCCACAGCTGATCTACATTCCTGTACTCCTCCCTCAAAACAAGAAGTACGTGCTCCGAGAATGGAGAGTTGTAAATCTCATATAGCCAGAGGAGACCCCAAAAGTGAAGTTCACCATGGTCTTCACGGTGAAATGATGTATTACTCAAACTGTCAAGTCCACAAAAAGTCCTTGGTTTCCACCAGGTGTTAGCTAGTCAGGCTGCTGGTGCCATAGCAAAATGACTCTTCACTCACAAGACTTATAAAGGTAAAAAGGGAACAGTTTACATTGGTTCCAATTATCCAGTCTAAGGACACAGGTTAAAAAAAGGCAACAGAAAATAAAAGAGGCATCTTAAAAATAGTAACATTTATGTGCTCAGAGAATCACGTCAGATATAAAAACATGAAACCTTGAATATGGCATGGTAAATGATAGCACCAACATATCTGTTCCACAGCTATAAGGTCAGCCTTTGTATTTGTTCAGTACCAACTTTCTCACTGAAAAGAGACTCAGACTGGACACAAGCACAAGGCTGCTCTCTCTGCTGCTGGTAACTACACAGTAGCAAAGCCCTGGATGCCTGCTTTCAGCAGCAGCCATGAGAGAACCATGGCTGCTGATGCACCAACAGCTCAGGAAGTCATGATAGAGCTTTAAATTCAGACAGGGAACCTTTACCTCCTGTCACCTCACTTTGTCAGGTTCAGCAACCTCAGACAACAGATGGTACGTGGAAGGGGTTGGGATGACAGATGACAGTGAATATATATATATAATGTTCTATTTGCATTTGCTTCTAAATTTGTCCCCCAGAGACTGTGAGTGTGTGTAGCCTTAATCAGCATAGAGCTCCCAAGCAGCATGTTGGTAGCAAGAGCAAGGCCACAATCACTCCAAGCTGGGTAGCCAAGGGTCTAGTGCAATGCTACTAGAACACTGATGCAGCAAGGCTCTTTCAGCGGTGGGCTCCAGGCCGCAGCCAGGCAACAGGCAAATTGCCCAGTTGTTGCTGTGCTCCAGACATGGGAGGTATCCCACATTCTGGGGGGGCTGAATTATTTTCCAGTTTTTTGGTTTCTAGGGGAGCGACTGCTGCAGCACCCAGAGCAACTCCCAGTTAGGACAGAGGTGCGCAGTTACCTGTACACCCAGCAAAGCTGGAACCACAGTGCTGTTTGGTGCTAAGCATATTTCTGTAAATTACCTATTGGACTTCAGAAGAAAGCAACTCAACAGTCCTGTTCTACTAATGCCAGTGGAGGCTCTTCTGGAATGGAAGCAAGGACTGTTAAGTGAAGATGTCCGAGTCCCCTCTCCTACGCTCATAGACTGACATGGAATGGAAGCAGTTAGATACATGTAGTGGTGGGAGAGTCTTCCTGACTGCATCTTGTAACCTGAATTTCTTACCCCAGTGACAGCAGAATTCAGAAAGAAGCATGAGAAGGAAGAAGAGAAGGGAATGGCAGAAAGAAGAGGCAGGAGGAAGTTGAATCTCTGCCACATGGGCAGGACCTAGTACCTTCTAGCTACAGGCATACACAGGAAGCTCATGATCAAAGCTCTCCGAAAACCCATTAACGTTTGCACTTCCTCTAGGTGTTAAATTTTGTACCAGCCATGCACCTAAGAAGTAATTTAGCTACTTGTAAAACAAAAGTAGGGAAAACATTTCATGTAACATGGAGG